TTTTATAATAAATTTTTATAAAATTTGTTATTAGAATTTAATTTCTAAAATATTAAAAAATTAAGATTTAATTTTTGTTGTTTTTGTTAAATGCTAAACTAAATGATAAATAGTCAACTCAACATTTTTAAGCTAATATATTATTTAATTTTTTAATTTTTTATTATTTAAAATTAATATTTATAAATAAGTCGTTATACATGTTTTTAATATTTGTAAAAAAAATCAATTTTCTTTCCCCTAATTCTTCTTTTTTTCTTATGATCCCGTATAGTTATTTCGACTCAAGTGTCTTTTGGGAAGTACCCCGAAGCAAATTGAAAAGGGTGGAGATAGAGGTTCCTTCCAAAGTTTGGATTTGCAGTCCACTAGAAATCATTAGAGGAGGGGTAAAGAGACTGCCACATGCTGAAATAGTTATCTCGGATTCAATTTGGAATTTCCTTGTTACCTTACTCCTCCAAGCTGCTGCGGCAATCACTCCTATTTGATATATTTCAACTTATAAAATATTACAGTCCTAGATTCATTTTTCTAGATGATGTATCGTGACGTTGATGAGAGCTATACTTAATAATAAAAATATAACCATTTTCCTGTCAACCTCAAATTTCAGTACATATCAATATTTCGTAAGAGGATGTGTATTCAATTCCTTCATCTATTCAAGGGGATGCTTCTATGACTTCGCAGCATCACTCGATAATTCTCTATCTGACATGTACTGTTCTCCTCCAAGGCCATTACCTTATGATGCAAAACTTAAATATTTTCGCTCGCAACGTGATGGACTAGTTTCAAGGCGTGAGAAGGGTTCAAGTCATTCAAAAGAGTAGTGGAGCAAGGGAGTAAGGAATGGGTTGGGGGTGGGGGAAGCTACTGGGTTGGAGGCGGAGGCGGAGGCGGGAGAGGGAGAGGGAGTTGGAGAAGGAAAAAAGAAATAATTTTTTTATAAATATTAAAAATGTATTATGAGACTTATTTATAAATATTAATTTTAAATAAAAAAATTTATAAAATTATATTGTAAAATATGTTATTTTTATAAGGACTGATCATGCATAGGATTCAGTCTTATCAGGCAATTGCAGATGATTTGGGGTTAAAAAATTACGAATCATTCTAACTCAATTATATAAAATTGTTTATCAATTCTATCTGAATGGATTGTCGGGTTGATTAGGTTTCGAGTTATTCAAATTTTAAGTTAGGCAGATGAATTGATACTAATAACAAAAATATCTATGAAACCAGTTGTCTCTATTTTTGCTAGTCCCACAATTAAAGTCATATCCATTGGTGACAAAGTGGTGAGCCCATGATTATAGTTTTCTGAAGGAACAATGAGGCTGAAGGTGAGACCATAAAAATTGGAAAGAAGGTGGGTTTAATACGAAAGAGTGAATTTCGATAGAAGAAACATTTGAATCAAAATAGAATAAGTCAAAACCATGAATTAACCAAATGCATATAGTGGTGAAAGCTAACAAACAGTGTTTCCTCTCCGCTGAATTCGAATATCTACAATTTTAGATTTTTGCACCGCAGCGGATCAAATTTCACTAAATAACTCAATAAACTTTATCTGTCTGTTAATCTTTGTTGGGATTAATAAAAGTAGTACATCTTTAAAACCTCACACTCTCTAAGGTATGTTAAAAAAAAGTCTCATATCACCTAGAACGAATAAAAAGTGCGTGACCAAAGTTATATAATAAATTTGAGTCAATGGTATGAAGGCACTCCATTTATAAATACTTTAAGATTGTATTTCATTCATAAATATACTCTTGTATTAGATTGTTATGAAGTTTATTTTAATTACTTTATTTTAGAGAATATAAGTATACTAGGGTTAAAGAAGAGTAGTCTATTTGTTATAAAAATTTTCACATAATAGTCTTATTGGGATATACTATTTCTGCTAACTCCTAATTACATATAAGCCAAACAAAATTAATAAGTAATTTATAAAACATAAAATAAACATTAAATTTTAGATAATTTAATCGAATTAACTAATTTTATATTCTATAAAAAATTAAATAAATAAATATTTAAGTAATATTAAGATTTGTATAAGTTAGCATATTAAATGAAAAATTTTTTATATAAAAAAATTTAATATAAATTTTTAAATGATAACATAACTTTAAAAAAAAATATTTTAAATATTTATATATAATCATATACAATCTATATTTATCATTTTTATTGTCATATAAAAAAATATTTCCATTCAATACATTTTCAATGAAACAATTATTTTAAAAGAAATAAATATTATTTTTATGGGGAGAAATATATTCTCATGTGTTTCACATAAGCTATTTTGTACATGTTTCAATTTATAAAATTGCTGGAGTATTGTGAAGCCGTTAAATATGAAACCTTGATCAACTTTTATTGACTTTTCTTTACATATAATTTATAATTTTTTAAATTTTTAATTAATATTTTTTTACAATATAATTAAATAAATAATGATTATAAAATTATTATATTTTTAATTCACATAAAACCTAATTTACACAATCATTAAAATAATAATAAATAACTTAATAATTAAATAATTATGAAATTATCTTATATTATTTATATGATCATGTGTACAATAAAATATCTATTACCATTATTTTTTAATAAAATTTTATAAAATTAATTTAGTTTATAACAGTATTCAAATTAATAATTAAATTGTTTAATTTTATACTTTTTAAATTATTCAATAATGTAAATATCTAAAATTAATAGGTTATATATCTTTATATATATATATATATATATATATATATATATATATGTGTGTGTGTGTGTGTGTGTGTGTGTGTGTGTGTTATAATTATAAAAAAATTAAAAAAATTAAAAATTATTATAAAATAATAACATTTAAAATATTTTAACAAGTTAAAAGATTAAAATAAATAAATAAAAGTAAAAAAAAGGCTTGACGTTATGTATTATATCTTAACATGGCATGCGTATTCAAACCTTAAGGAGATTCACTGTAAAATTTATATTAAAATAATTACATAAATAGTATTTGAAAATCACAACAACATGGTTTATCCCTCGGCTCCCTAAAAAAAGCGACTCAGAAAAATACCAAACCCAGTACAACAATTGTAAACAATTAATACACAAGGCAACAACTTTTTCTTATTCATCGCACTTTACCTGTATTCACGTGACCATCTTTTGTATTCTTCCGTTGTTCTCTTAGGATTTTGCAAAGATGGAAAAATAAACTTTCAGAAACAAATTAAAAATATGATTTCATTTTTGTGATTAAAGAGTGAAATTAAAGTTTATTATATTTAATGTTGATGGAAAAATTTTAAACATTAATTAATAAAACTATGAAAAATAATACTAATTTGATTTGATTTATAAATATTAAAATTTGATCACCATTAAAATTTATAAATATTTGATTATATTTAATATGATATTTTAACTTAAATAACATTGCACAGATAAGAATATAAATTGTAATTTTTAATAAAAAAACTATAAAATTTAATGTAATTAAATTCATTAATACTACTTAAATCTTACAATTTTTAATAAAAAATTATTATAAATATCTTCGAGTGTTATGTAAAGTTATACAGGTTAAAAAAATTGTATTTAGTATTAATAAAAAAAATTAAGTATTATAAAAAAATATTTTGGTCGAATGACTAGTTAATTAGAAATAAACTAATATTGACTTGATTTGATTTAATAGGAAGGTCATAACGCATATCACACACAGCATAATAAATATGTGGCTTCATGAATTAATATATAGACATGAATTAGCAGAAGGTGTATTAATTTCTTGTTTACATGTATTAATTATAAAAAAGTAATTATGTGAAATCGATCTAATATTTTTTTTAGTAAATCCAACAGTGACAAGTTGAAATAGTTTAAAGAATGTTATCACAGAAAAAAAGGTTGGTGATAAAGTAGAAAAGCGTATTTATAAAAGGTATTTATGTTGTTGGTTATATACAACGTTGTTTGGATGTGAACGAAGCATAACTAAAATATAACAGCGAGTTCCCGTGATATTCTAATATGTCATTTTTGAAGACTTTAATATTCTAATGTACAACATTGTTTGGATGTGGAAATTATAATTATAATCCCTTATAATAAGCGTGTATAACTTTTTTTTTTTCTATTATATAAAATTCTATATTTGTAATCATAGGTGAGAATTATAACTATAGTATCTTATCTTGTAATAATGGGTATAAAATTCTAGATATACAAGCATAAATACTTGTTGAGCTGAGAATTAAGTATTATGATAGTAATAACTAGTATTGATCTATTATGATATTAGGACCATGTCGTAGCATTAGAGATTCAGTTTAAGTGAATTACTTCATATCGGCAGTCAAATTTAATTTATTTGTTTTAAGTGGATAATTTAACACATTATACTATTCCAAGTTGATGACAGTAGAATGTGTTTTCTTTAATGGATAAAAAATGTAAATTTATAAAACTAGCACTACTTTGCATTAACTTCTCATGTCGTTGCTTTATATTAATTTTGGGTCCCAATATTGTTCTCCTTAGAGATGCTACCAACAATGTTATTTATATACCATTTTTATTTACATTATTTTCAAATATTAAAATAAAAAATACACACTAAGAGCATGTTTGTTTTATCTTTTGAATGTTTTCAGTTTTTAAAATTAAATTGTCATACAAATTCATATTATATTTACTTTTAAAAATTTAAAGCAGTTTTTAAAAGAGAAATCAAACATATTCTAACTTTTTATTATTATTTTTCTCTTAAATATGAAAATGGGTAAAGATGATATGTCAAGTATTATATAGTATACCAAAAAGAAATGTTATGCATTTTGTATTTGCAGCAAGGTTACAAGAAGCACTGTTAATTAACAGTTCTTCTGTGTCCCTATATAAAGGCATAATGCCAATCAGCTAGGCACTCAAATGCTCCTCACGGTTGCTAAAACTCTCAAAAGCAAATGAGGACACAAAGTTTTACATGTTTAGTTCTCATCTTCATTGCTTTCAATCCTTCAAATGCAAAACAAACACAACCCTTTTCAGATATCATCAACATCGACCATTTCCTGAACAAAATTTATCAATGGGGAAGTGAAACAAATGGATCCCTAGAATCCCAGATTCTTATGTCAGGCCCTTTGGTGCTAGCTGGAGTCCTATGCTTCATAGCTTCCTGTATATCTAGTGTTGGTGGAATAGGAGGTGGGGGTCTTTTTATTCCCATACTAACTATTGTGGCCGGCTTAGACCTGAAAACAGCTTCAAGTATCTCAGCTTTCATGGTCACAGGAGGATCAGTTGCAAATGTTATATGCAACATGTGCATCAAAAGTCCTAAATTCGGTGGCAAGTCATTGATTGACTATGACATAGCACTTTCATCAGAACCATGTATGTTGTTAGGAGTGAGTGTTGGAGTTATTTGTAACCTTGTATTCCCAGAATGGTTGATTACAGTACTGTTTGCTCTCTTTCTTGCTTGGTCTACCACAAAAACTTGCAGAAGTGGTTTGCTGTTTTGGAAGATTGAATCAGAAGAGAAAAGGAAAATTGGACTTGAGGAACTTGAAAAGGGGTTGCAACAAAATGGAATTATTGAAGAAAATAAAGGGTCAGCTCATGTGTATGCAGAAAATGATGGGCCAAAAAGTATTGAAGTGCCTATTCTGGCTCCTCAGGAAAATAGCGAAGTGAGGATCCCATGGTTGAAATTGGTGGTATTACTTTTGGTCTGGTTCTCTTTCTTCTCTATCTATCTTCTTCGTGGCAACAGATATGGACAGGTGAAGTTGCTTTCTTTCTTCTTCATGGTTAAACAGTGAGGCTGCTTGTTGCTATTATCAACTTTTATACAATAAATCTATTAACCTAGTACAATAAATTCTTTCTTTCTTTTATTTTTTATTCCTGTATATATTGTAAAATCTGTGTAAATCTTAATATTTTCGTATTGCATACCTTTTGAGGGACAACCCTTTAATGCAATTGTTCAAACTATGCAGGGAATCATTCCAATGGAGCCATGTGGTGTGGGATACTGGATTCTGTCATCAGTTCAAGTACCTCTTGCTGTGGTTTTCACGGCTTGGATTGTAGTTAGGAAAGAAAGCCTGAGAGACCTAACTCATACACCAAAGGTTCTTAAAAGCCATAGATTGACTTGAACAGTAGTTTTTTTTACAAATTTTCAGTTACCTATACCCTCTTAATCTGCTTAGAGCTAAATAATATGCAGGTGCCAGGTCTTATCAGAAATAGACCATCAAATAAGCTTGTTTTCCCCTTGATGGCACTACTAGCAGGGATACTGGGTGGTGTCTTTGGAATTGGAGGTGGAATGTTGATAAGTCCACTTCTTCTTCAGGTTGGAATAGCTCCTGAGGTAAGCCATACTATCATAAGGTTTATTTACTATCGTCCACATTTTAAACATTAGTGCTATCTATCATTTCAGTATTGATTATATCCCGATTAGCAAATAGTTAGAAAATTAATTATCACACCTTTTAATAAAAAAGCACACGTTTCACTTAAAAAATCTATGGCTAATTATTTTTAACACATCTTAATTATGTTCAACGACTCAATGATTACTTTTTGCATAGGTAACGGCAGCAACTTGCTCTTTCATGGTTCTCTTCTCTTCTACCATGTCAGCATTGCAATATCTGTTGTTGGGAATGAAAGATGTAGAAACTGCCCTCGTCTTGGCCATAATGTGTTTTGTTGCGTCACTTCTTGGATTACTAGTGGTACAGAGAGCAATTCGGAAGTATGGAAGAGCCTCTATAATAGTTTTCTCGATTAGTATAGTGATGTCTTTGAGTAATGTTCTGATGACTAGCTTTGGAGCCATAAAGGTGTGGAAAGACTTTAAATCAGGGGAATATATGGGGTTCAAACTACCCTGTTAAAAACAATTTTGTTAGATCAGTTTCTCCTTGTCTTCAATATCTACCTTGGACCTTCTATTTCAAGATTCTCTCTTACAAGTACACTGTCCAATAAGAAAGAAAAAGACACATGTTCTGCTAGACGGTGTAACCGGTTGGAGAGGATCACATACTTGAATATTATCATATGATGTCCTCAATTATGTGTCATGCTTAAGAACATAAATGAACTTCGCAAAATTCATATGAACAAAAAGATGCTAAGGTTGTTGCATATTTTTTCTGACCAAAATAAAATTGTATATTCTTTCCAAAAGAACTAATAAGCAAGTTGGAGAGGTCATCAAATAACCAACATCCAAATGCAAGAATCCCAGAAAAGTATGTGACGTTCAACAGCATTTTTTACCAAATTATAAAATAAAAAACAAACTCAATTTGGCTGAACATATAACATGAAGTAAAGTAGCTACCAAAAAGTTGCCTCTACAGTGAGTAGGACCTCTTAGAACTCTGTTTTTTCCCTACATTTCTCAGATGCACAAGCGATATCACATATTTTGAAATACATCAGTCCTTAAAATAAATTTTAAGCACTTAAAAGTAATAAATTTTTATTAAAAAGGTATTATAATTTTATATTTTAATTGTTTAAAATCAATTTTAAGGACCAATGTTAACATTTTGTAGAATAAAAAGACCATTTCTTTGGCAAGTTATGCAACTGGGGGCCTAAGTAGATGGTCCTGTGAGGTATCAACAGCAGCAGGTTGTAAAAACTGCCACATGGCAACTCCTGGGTAGCCCATGAATGGCACCACCTTGCTGCCAACAGCTTGTCCTTGTGCAGGAAACGCAGGCAAAAGGCTAGGTTGTGAACTCAATGCTTTAAGCTTCTGCTCAATGCTCTCTTTCTCTGCTTTTAGTCGCTGCTTCTCATCACGAAGCTCATTTTTCTCAGCCTTTATAAATAATACCAGCAGCATAAATATTAAGATCGTAGGTAGGCCTCACCATCATATGTATATATATGCATAAAAATCACTTAATATTACAGAATTTAATTTATGAATAATATAAAATGCTATTATTGATTTCCTATTGTAAATTCTTGAATATATCAACTATGAGGGATAAAATGAAAAATAAGTTTAATCATAAATTATAAAATTTTGCTTATTCTAAATAAGTTATTTATTTTATAAAAAATAAAAGATTATAAAACAATTTATTAAAATTTTCCACACAAGTTTAAATAGTAATATTTTAAAAAAAATTCCAGATAATCTACGAAAATAATCCTATCGAAATAGAGAGTTACACATACCTTCAATTGGTTGATTTTGTCCTGTAGATTGTGGGTAGAGTCTCTAAGCTTCTGAGCTTCCTCTCGTAACTGAAACACCATTCGAACAGCATCACTTAATATAACAGCCTTGTCCATTTTCAGAGGCCTCGCAGGGTCCAAAATAGAGCCCAATTCCAAAAACCTTAAAAACAACGAGTCACGTGAGAGAGAGAGAGATGAGACCAAAAACAGAGAACAAAAAGACAGATATATGAATGAAGCAGAGATGCCTGTCGTTCAGTCGATCCCTTCGCATTTTCTCTCTGCATGCTTTGGAAGCAGATGGATTGCACCATCCTGAACTCAAACTGTAATACCATTTTATGAAGATACTCAGATGATAGAAAAATTCACCATCTCAAAAAATACTTCCTAAAACTGTAGCTGCGAACCTTTTTTAAATGTGTGATTTCAAGCTCAAGTTACTTGTGGGAAATAGAAAAAGTGATTTTACTATTATTTAATATTGATGATATTTTATTTCTTACATATATTTTTTATATATTTTATTAAATTTAAAAATTCATATTCAATATGCCTAATTAGTATTTTAAATTTTAGTTCTTGCTTATGGACCTATCCCAATCTACTCACTTTTATTATATTTTCTAAAACACTGTTACTTAAGTTTAGTCAAATTGATTTAGATTTAAATTAACACTCCATGTCAACTTAATAAAAATAAAAATCATATGCCTTGCTCACACAAACTTTTTTTTTATTTCAAAATTCTTTATTTCTTTAATATATTCCTATGAAAAAAATATTAAAAACGAAATAATTTGATCATCATATAATAACGATGGTACTTTTTATTTTATATATTTTTAGTTTACTTATATTTTCAAGATGTATTTAAAATTTTTAAAATATTCATATGATTAATACACGAAAAACTTGCTAATAATATAGAATTTAATAAATGTTCATGTGCTAAAAATTTGAAGAAGAAACATCTATAAATTATCAATATAAAAGAATAATCAAATCTTAATCTTTCAATTGTTTTTATACGGGCTTAATAAGTAATATTGTAACATTTAGATTAGCAAATTAGATAGCGTAGATTTCTTCTTCCGATTATGCATCCAAATCGCATCACCAATTTTCCACTAACAACTTTGGGTTTTAAACTCTAGGATTTATTTTCCCTATCAAACGACAGTAAAAGTGATTATATAGCTTTGCCAATTAGATTTGATTTTCAAAAACTATGCATCTTTTAAATTAAGCATACAAAAGCAATTCCTATGCAATGCTATGAATGTGCAAAAAATGGTCGATAATAGGATCCAATTAAAAGCATAAAACAAAAACCAAAGAACAAGGATAGCATGCAATGACCAAACAAGACAAACTCATAATATGAAAATAAAAGCAACTAATCGAAACATAATGGAATATAGAAACTTTTCTAACGATAAGATGAAATCAGAGCAAAGGCAAAAGAAAGATTAATATGTACCACACTAATCAATTTGAAGAAGATTATGAGATATAATAGGTATGAATAACAGCATAACTTACCGTTTTCTTGACCCAGTTTCCTTGAAACCATCCAAATTTCTAAATGACTCATCTAGCTCCACACTGGAAAAAAAATGATAATAATAATGATAAAAAAAAAAAACAGTTATGTTTTAGAGGGGGAAAGTTGGAAAAAATTTAATAGTTGCAATAATTTACAGAAAAGGAAGTCCCATTAAGATGTGAATAGTTACCATCCGCATTATCTATTGTACGAAAATTTTAATAAAATAACCTTGATAGGAGAAGATTTGCATGCACTAATGAGTAAAAGACAATGTGAACTGTGAGAAGCCAAGTAGTAGAAGGAAGAAGTGAGTAGAAACATAAGTATATGGTTACTCCTTCTCAAAACTGTGTTATAAGCATATAATAGTGATGCAAAGGTGCAAGACATGTGATTCCTTGAAAAGACTAGTTTATAGAGAAAAGAAGCATAGTTGTTTGAAGAATGGAGTGACCTGAGGGTGTGAGGAGGAGAGGAGGACCAAGTGAAATTTGGTGGGTGAAGGGTAGGGAGGGGAATGTCATCAAGATCACCATAATCCAACACCCAATTGCTATCGCCCATCTCCGGCCTAAAGGGTATGTCGGAGTTGAGAAGAAAAGATATGATTAATACTATAATGTATGGAGAGAAAAATACATGAATGAAGGTGAGAGTGGTCTTTGATACAAGAGACTCATAGTGGGACATCAATGCCCTTCAACTATCACCACACACCACAAATGCATATTCGCTTTTATTTTTTATTTGTCTCAAAGCATAGGTATTGTCGGAAGGTATCTTTTAGTCCAATCTATGTATTGGGCCTCATCAACTTTATGCCTTTCCCTTTCAGTTCCATTGGCCCATCCTATTCTATTCATAAACTTTCAAACTTAAAAAGAAAACCAGGAAATTTTCATATATAAATTAGTTCAATATAATATAATTTAAATAATGACACAAAATTGTCATTTAGCTTTTCATCATTTATTTTGAGCTGAATACCAAAAGTTAATTAGGACCAACAATACACATCGATACCAATATATACTACACACACTGAAGCTTGCATGGACATCTGTGATGGTTGTATTTTTCTTTCATTAGCCAAAGAACCAATACAAAAAAGCACACGGCCCTTGAAATCACAACTTCCAGGGAAAGAGCACAAAACTCAAAACCATAAAAAGCAAAATTTCAGCTGAAATAAAAGTTGTAGATTAACAAAAGCATTAAGCTAATGAAACTTGGAAATTACACTTGAACTAATATTCAACATATAACATCATAAAAGGCTTTGACCCCGATGCCATAGTGCAGGACCACAAGCACATATCTTACAACTTGCAACAGTAAAATACCACTACGCTACTAACACACGATTGGACTGAACAACCCCATCTATCCTTTTCTTTATCTCCTCTGGATTGGCACCAACCACCTTCTCCACTGCAACACCGCCCTTTAGAAGTAAAAATGTTGGCATTGCCTTTACATCCATTCTCGTGGCCACCCCCTGACACCCAAATGATCACAAACTAGTAGATAAAATCACCCAAAAATTTAACTCTCGTTTCAATGCTCCAAGCATGAATATAACATCAGGAAAGGTACACCATTTAATCAGTCAGTAATGAATATGAGAAACACAGATTTAAGATGTTCATCAGAAGAATATCTATATGTCTGTAGTTCTTTGTTGAGTAGCAAACACGAGTTAAACCGTGCTTCAAATCCAAGTCCGTAATCAAAGAATGCAAGTTGCTTTATTTTCTTTAAGGATTACAAAAATAAATAAAACATGCCAGGTAGGTAGAATTCTACCCTTTGATCTTATGTACAAATCTAAATATATGTTGCTCAATGACAAGCAATTATTGAACCATATTACTGACCAACATAGCACCAGATAAACTTTTTAGAGTGCATGTTACATAGTTACAGTATTCAATAAACATTTAACAAGACACCCATACACTGTCACAATATAATTTCAAAACATTTTTAATAAACTTCAACACATAAGTTCTACTGACCTTGAACGCCTTCCTTCATTGTACGTTTAAAATATAACACGGTAAAATAGAATCCCCAACAAGGAAACAGGACTTCATTGCATATAATTATTTATACATTACTAATTGAACGATAAATTAAAGGTGAAAGCACAGAATATCACCAGATATTGACACCTGTAAGCACCTGGCTATTTCTTCTTTATGTTGGACTAGCAAGTTATCGAGAAGGAAAATTTTAATGGGTCAATTCGTTATGTGAAGATCTAGCTCCTCAGACAGTAGGCCACTTACTCATGCATTTAAGGTTGCTAATTTCTTTTGATACATCTAAGAATTTTTGGGATGTACAGGGTTATTTTTAAGGTTCATCCATATAATGGTTCTGTTATAAACAAGGAGAATAGAATTTTTAAGGCAGTGTGCAACTTTTGCCATTAACAAGGATTTAGAGATCAATATGACTATGTAGAACATTATGGCATCATATGATCTATGTAATTGATCTACCCAGTGAAAAAAGGATTGATTGTGGTTGTTGTCGTGCAAACTGTGCATTTTTTTGGTGTGCGGTTGAAGAGAAATGCACATAAATGCAACAATTCATGCTAATGGCAATCTCAAATGAGAATACACTCGACATAGAAAGGGAACTTACAAGAAAGATGTAGTAGTACTGGTAATGTGTTTGAGAGGTGTTTATGCACCAAAATGTGCATCTAGAAACATTTAAGGAGCACACAATAAGCAAACGAGGGAAAAACTACCTTGACCTCATCAACATCAACAGTGAGAAACACAATATCCGGATAGCTCAAAGCCAGTTCTTCGAAAACAGGTACCATAGCCACCGATGGCATGCACCATGAAGCTGTGAAGTGAACCACAACCTAAGATCCATCCCACAAAATACTAAAAACAGTAAGTTTATATCAAATATTCTATCTGCAAGCAAATAACAAGAACACAGCCAGCAACCCAAATCAAAACAAACATATAAAACCCAAAAAAGGAAAAATCAAAAGATCCAAACTTTGGCATAAAATGGTTGACTTACAGGGCAATTCTGGTTAGAAGCCTCGGTGAGATGGTGTTCCCATGATCGCAAAGAATCAATCACCACCACCTTGGGTTTGTTCTGCTCAGTGGCTTCCATTTCCTCACTCAACTCCTACTTGATGATGAATTGACTCTACCCAAAACAAAAGGGAATTTTGCTGCTTCCTAGCTTTAGCTCAAGACTCTTAAACTAAATAAATAAGGTTGATTTAGTCAGATAAGAGAAGGTCATCTTTTAATAATTTATCTTCAATGGATTGATTAGAAAGAACCACTAGCTACCCTTCACACAACTTCATTTACAAGCCAAGAATCTTGCTCTGCTACGAAACAAAGTAATAATTGTAATAATTAAATTCAAATTAAAATCTCATTACCCCACATTAATTCAAACTAAAAAAAAACATTTGCACCAAAATAAAATGTGCATGGATCACTATTTTCTTTTTTAAAATATAAAAAAAAAGACCATTCGAAAAATGGGGCTTGTCCTGATCGCAATGTATTTCCTTTTGCTGGAAAATATCTAGAGAATGAGCACAGAAAGCACACAGTAAAAAAATTAATGCTAATGAATTGTTGTTTGTAGAAAAGCAATCAAATAGATATGAAAAGGGATTAAGGAAATATATTATGTAATGTGAATGCAGAATTTTCAATTAATAATTGATTGAACATTATCCAACCATCCAGCTATGTGGTCCCCAGCGCTGTGTTCAATGGGCACCCACTGAGTCGAGAAGCTTCTCCAATAAAGTCATAGCAACGAACGCCATAGAATCTTATTTATTTCGATTTTGGGTTCAGTTGGTAAGTAAATAATAATTATCTGAGCATAAAAAATCTGAAACAGCCTGGGAAATGAATAATCGGCATTCTTACTTTCCCTATGTCAAATAGATAAAATGTTTTTGGTGTTCACCTAAAAACAAAAAAATTTGATTCATTGTCTACTGTGTCCCACACCATCTATCTACTATATATACACTTGTATATAAATTATTTTCAATTTTATGTCTCTAAAATAAATAATCAAGAATAAATTTACTTTAAAAAAAACCACTATTTGTAAAACCCGCATGTTAATATGTATAGATTTCTTGTCTTCATTCATAAACTTATATTATATATTGATTATTTAACAATGCAAAAAATCTTATACTAACAATAATTTGTATCTTTAAATAATAATATGTTAAAAGGTCTAATACTTAAATGTAAAATTAATTTGTATCTCAATTAAACTCACCAATTATGTTTGTTTTTATAATTCTTTATTAATCTTGAATCAGAAATTAAAAATATAATTAAAATTATCAATGTTGATTTCATATTATAAAAATGAAAAATACTTTTTAATCTTTTTTTCATGAAAATAAATTATTATTAATAATAATTTCTTCTTTTACGTAAATTTTATGCTATATTTACTTATTTTTATTGTCACTATAAATATAATTAAAATTTTATTATGTTATTTTATCCCTTTTTTATTTATAAAATAATGTGTAATTTTATATGATCATAAATATTTCTCTTAAATATAGTTCTCACAGACTTAAAATGTGAATGTAATATATTGTCAAGAGAAAAAAGAAACATAGTAATAAGATTTCTTCATAACTTCATTTAGAATTATATGAACATTAAAAATATGTAATTTATTTATTACTTAATTACTTCAATTTATTATAATTTCTGTATTATATCATGACCTCTGTCGTCAAAAATAGTATCCTTATCCGTTTTTTATACCGACAATCACATATGTCATGATATCCAAGAAGAACTTCACATGATGCCTAGTATTCATCAAATATTTAAACAGAATTTATAATTATATTTTATTATAATACGATGGTAAGGATTGTGCTCAGTGCCTTCTTTGAACAGAATTTATAATTTTGTTCACATGCACACATGTTCCTGCGCTGGTTGACTTGTTTCCAAAAAAACATCTTTTTATCTGTTAAAGAAATTTGTAGTTTAATCTTAAATTTTAAATGGTTAAGTTCAGATTAATCTTACATTTCAATAGTGTTCAATCAACATATTTTTAAAAAAAATATTTAAAATGCCTTAAAAACTTACTAACATTGATTACGTTAAGGTGAAAGGAAAATTACATTTTAATAAAAAAACAAAATTTAAGTATAATATGATAAGCATTTATTATGTTATAATAATTTGGGTCAATTTTTAATAGTTTTAATGTGAGATTATGGAGGTAGAATTCTAACTCTAATTAAAAAATTGATATTAAAAACATTTGCAGTAGTGAACTTAAATTTTGTTTTTATTGAGTGAGATAATGAAGTTCTGTTCGAAAATTTCACAACTAGGGTGCGGTTTTCCTTTCTCAATAGATGTGTTCGCATTTTGCAAGATGGAATATACTTGTTTCTCGCAAGTGTTAAATCACGATTACGTCAATTATTTGTATCCGATGACTAATGTATATACTGTCAGCACCATTTAATCAAATACATTTTCCATGAACCACAACCATGTCTATAAGGAATTAATGAATACCACAAAATAATGTGGCATCTCGTTAAGTTGCAAGAATTGATCAAATGGTAAGTTTTACATAGAAATTACAATCAACAAGCTGCTCAAATAAATTGAATATTATCATATGTCACAGCTAAATGATACAAACCATTAGTACCAGTGAGGCTAAAGTCAAGCCTCTTCTACGATCAATATACACAACCCTCAATTCTCTAAAAGTTAACACAGTTACATTCATCAAACAGTTCTTCTATACCTGAGAAAGCAGTACAAATAACAGTTATTTTTGGTTATGAATTACGAGGCAGACCTCTCTTTTAGCCATAGCTCAAACGAGAGTCAAAGGACCGCGTTGATGTCTGACGCCGCGGAATACCAATTTCGCAGGCATTGACTCTAGCGGCAAAACGAAGAGAGCAGAGTGACTCTCCAGTTGAAGATGGATCAGGTGATATGTTCACAAACATCAAAGTTTTGGAATCCCCACCAAGACATGGCTGCCATACATAGAACATAAGCAAATCATTTGTTTGGTTCATGTAGTTGAAATCAATGTCAAATAAAATTGCATACTGAGATTCTGGTGTGATAAAGCAATCTAGAGTAATCGTATAAATGCCCCTTTTCATGCCATGAAATTGGAATGATAGTGTGTATGGTATGAGTATTCTTATCCTTAAAATACAATCTAATCCGCAATTTTGCAGCGCGTTGATAAGTTCCGCATGTCAAAAATACTATAACCAACTTTTTTGCATCCTTCTGTTTAATGACTGCTGCTAAATTATTCAAATTGAAAGAAAGAAATCAAATTCATTAGAACTATGCATATCAGGCCATGTTAATAGTTGTTGATATAAAGTCTCACCACTTCTCAGTTCATTGTACAGATAGTTATTGATTTCCATGTGTGATTAGTATCAGACTACTATCAGTGTAACTTTTTCACTCTTTAAATAACAAGACCAACTTTAGCCAATCCATCCAACACAATCGCGAGCATACCTGGAGAAGGTAAGTCAATTTTGAATTCCTAAAGGGGACATGCTCCTCTTTCTTTGCCAAAGCAAATATGACATCACTCAAAGATGAGAGACTTTTGTTGATAGCCTGACATAGATAAGATAAATACACAACAAAAAGTTATCACTTGTGCTAATATAAAATCACTGACAGAGATTAAGTTCATAAATGATTATCAAACAGACACCTGAGTTTCCTTTAACCGGTCCCCAGTTGCCCCACTCCTCGAGAGTCTTTCACTTCCAGCCAGATCAATCAGGTTTAACACACCTTGCACTTGTTGTTCAGTGTTCTAAAACGGATAGAAACGTACATCAGGAAACGGTGTCAAGATGAAAGAACAGTAAAATTATTGTATCAAAAGCCAGTACCTCGTTAATCCCACATATACGCAAAGTAAACACAAAATGACTTCGTGATGATTGTTCATTCATCTGTGTTCTTCCTACAGACCTGGAAAAACGATAGGGAAACATTTTCTTTGTTTAAAGATCCAATGCCAATAAAACAAGGACCAAAACAATAGCACATTGTATCTTAAATATTTTAAGTTAGATCTTCTAGCTGAATCAAATATAATAAAATTTACACTGAATTTAATTTAGTTGAAAAGGAAAGTTATTTACACCAAAAACAAAAGATCATTCATGCATCATGACGCAAGAGAAAAACCAAGGTGAGGGCTGAAAGGTTTCGAGCATGACTTCACCTGCTTTGTGCTGCCTGTTGCAGAAGGGAGGAAATCTCATTTGCACTACAAACATCCACAATAGTGAGGTCTGAAACATGTGTGTTTCCATTGGCATCGTGTTTGATAGTGTATTGCTGCTGCTTTCCAGAAACAGGTACACCATTTTCTGTTCGTGTTGGGTCAATACTACTTGACCGATTTGATGATAACAAATCCCTGATGGTCTCATTATATATTTCCAGTATTGAAGCCTACAAATATTTCACAAAATTTTGTCACTGTTTCCACTTATATATGTAAGATAATTCGGTCTCATGAAAATAAAGTATATTAACCTGCATTTTGTACTTCCATCCCTGATCCTTCAGGGACTGACTAATCTGGAATATCTGTTCTAGAGAACGCGGTATCAACCCCTTCAGCTCTGGGGCATCAGGCCTACCCATCATTGTATAGGTTTTGCCTGAACCTGTCTGTCCATAAGCAAAGATACAGACCTGCCATGACAAACCATTAGCCGTTTGTTAGGCCAAGCATAGTTTGTCTTGTAATAGCCAAAATAAAAAAAACCGACAAAATGTAAATAAAAAAATAAAAAAAATGAAAAACCCGTCGTATTGCATTCTATTTCAAAGATGCATTTCATGAAGAGATACTTTTTTTTGTCCAGAAACAAACCCTAAGCCACAGAAACACTAAGATACCAAACAGAAGGTAGAATACAGATATAGCCACAGTTCATATTAAATATGAAAAAAATTAAATAAGAAAGAAGTTCAACTTCAAGTATAAATAGTTCGTGTTTTTTGGAAAATAAGGTACCAGTTGCCAGAACTTTCAGAACATAGAAACTCAGATAAAGACCAGTAGACCACAGCACTAACAACAAGCATAGCAATTCAATATCAATTCCCACAACTAAGTAAAAAACCAATAGAACTTACTGTGCTTCGAAAACACAACACCCAAAATATTACTAAAAATAAACAGAATAGCTTAACAATTTTGGTTTTGCTATTAGTAAAAGGTGCACCGATGAAATTTTGTATTTAAAAAAGTTCCCAAAACCCCATAGCCAATAGCAAGTATTGTTCCACCATACACCATAAAGTTTTCATGCTTTAATTTTACCTATTTTCTATGTATTACGTTCTGCCATCAAGTAATGAACAAAAGAAGGCAAATTAAAAATTACCTTGTACCCATCAAGGGCACTTTGTACCAGCTGTGATATCTCAATGAAAACATCTTGCTGAGAAGCCTCGTGATTAAATACCTTGTCAAATGTAAAAGGGTACTTCTGCCCTGTTTATGTTAAAGGATGAAAAAATTATTATAATTCAATAAGCACATACAATAGTGAAACTAGAATAACACGAGAAGAGAGAGGAAAAAAGATTGAAAATATATACCGCTCTGTACCAATTCAATGCCCCGGCCAAGGGCTTCTGTTGACGAAGGGTAAGAAACAACCATGTCTGTTCCAGGACCATCATCCGGTAGCAAAGGTCGAACACGGCAGAACACGCGAATATTTCCTTTTAGCTCCTACAAACAGAAAAAATTATATGCTACTGAAGTATTACGCTGAACAACTAATAAGGGACCCATGTTTTAGGTAATAGCAAGTTTTCAACAAAAAAGGCATTTACCAGGATAGTGTTGTGCAATTTTTTCCTTAATTTCTCTCCTTCAATTACTTGGAATTCTTTCTCTGCTAGTCGTTCCTGTAGTTCACTTATAATTCTTTCCTGATCTTCAAACACTGTTCTTGATTTTGAAGCAGATAAATCAGCCATCTAACAAGAAGGAAATAAAAATAGTTTAAATCGTAACTGTAAACAAATGCATCAACTAGTTACTACGGCTAGTAAAAATCGACAAGTAATATTTAATCATTTACTCCTGTTAAATTTTATCTCAGCTAAGCAAATCTTGCGAGGAAATTAATTTTAAACGACAAAACGGGTGCGCACACACAGGGCTGAATTACCTTTAACTTCTCCCTTTCAGCATTCAACTGATGCTGCAGTATATTTATTTGCTCCCTTTGGGAAGAACATGTCTCCTATAAAGAAGCCACTATCTTATAAATCCAATGAAGAAAAGAATGCATAATTAATAATTAAAAGGATCAAAATAACTAAAAGGAAGGTATAAAACAGCGCAGCGAACCTCTAGAGCATTTGTTTTTATTGTCAACGTATCCAATTGTGCACATGATTTCCCTGTATATTCTTTGTATTTTTCTACTTCTCCAGTCAAAGACTGTACTTGTCCCAGTTGGCGATCACGATCATCTCTAATTTGTTTTAGTTCTTCCCGAAGGCATTTGAGCTCATTTGCTAACATTTCCTTCTGCTTAGTAGCCTCATCCTGTGAGGTCTGAATAAAAAGATAAAATCAAAGAAACCAAACAATGGTTGACAACACGCGTCTCAAAGGACAACACAGAATTCAAATATCACACCAAAAACTTACTTTAAGAGATGCCAACTGATCCTGCAATGCCTTATTGTGGCCTCTAACATTGCTAAGGTTCTCAACAATGGTTGCTTTCTCGGTTTCCAGTCGTTTATGTGCTTCATTAGTTGTTTCAAGATCTGATTGAAGGCGACTATTGTACTGCTGCAGACTCATATTGTACTCCTGTGATCGCTTGTACAAGTCCTCATTTGAAATGGCCTGCAAAACTCAACAGAGAGAAATAAAAGTGAGATGACCTGCAAAAATCTAACAACAAAATAAATATGTACAAAAATCATTCAACAACAAATAATTTTCGGATAACTTGGTAGTGGATTTCAATATTTAATGAATAATTGTAAATTGTCCACATTAACATTTACCTTCCGCTCAGCAGCTGATCTCTCATCCCGAACTTTCTCCAGCTCAGTTGAAAGAGAAGCTTGCATCTGCTCAGCTGTACTTCTAGCTTCCTTTTCTCTTCTATAACAATCAATTGCTTCCTAGTTGTCAAACCACAAGAAGTGAGGCCATCATGCAAAAGAAAACATCACTTGGGATATCCAATCACAATATTGTGGGCAAACATCCACATACCAATTTAGCTGATTCTTCCTTTGCAATTCTCTCTTCTAAAGAGGAAATTGTCGTCCTCAAATTAGATATAGTTTCATTCAACTCAGCAATCTTAACCTTCATCTCATTCCCTGAGAAAACACAAATGCGTGAAAATGTTGAATAATATTGACTCAAAATTTTGAAATTACAACCAAACACTGCACATGTACTCTGGAGTTTGAATGACATGATGCAAATAATAAAATTATAAAGTACATTTATATCTGAAAAAACAATTTATTGTTCTAGCAGAAAAAACAAATGTGAACAACAAGCATTCCTGGTGCTTTTGAAGGTTTTTCTTCAATGTAAAATTTATAAAGCGATAGATATACTTAAGACAAGCCTTTATGAGTAATCTAACCGCAATTGCCAGAGTATACAACAATGGCTAATAGCTATAGCACCGTAGCAAAAATTGAAGCAACCACCACAACATAACAGGCAGCTTACTCGTGCTAACGAAAGAAGCTCAAAGCACAAGTAAATAACTCCTAAGTAGTGAAAAGGAAGCAAGCACCTAAAAACATCCAATCAGAAGGTGTATTCAACAGTGTTTACGTGTCAAGAAAAAATCAGACTTCAGAGAGATGACTCACCAGTGTCAATGCATTTCTTCAGGGCAGATTCAAGTTCAGTCTGAAGCTTTTCTTTTTCTTGGATATACCCTTCTTCAATTCTTTTAAACCATCGAACGCAGAGTTTAAGACGCTTTATGAGATCTGCCATCTGGTCCATTTTTTTCTGCCAAAAAGAAAAAAAATATAAGCTTCAAACACAATTATGCAATGAAGAATCAGTGTCAGAAATTTGAAGTACACAAGAACCTTATTATCAAAGGGATTTCCCTTTTTCATCTTCTCATTGAGCAACGCCTCCACGTCCTCTTTGGTGAACTCAACAGTGGCAAAATCGGAGCCCTCGGCGCCGGCAACTTCGTTAGCTTCTGCTTTGTTGCTGAGAGCCCCAAATGGAGCCCTGGTTCGACCCTGTCGCTCCATCTTCTCTGCCCCAATTCTTCGACGTTTGTCTGAGGGAAGTTCTTCAGCACCTCCCTTTTTCTGAAAGAAAACACTATTAGTACCCCCATTTCTGCGAATCGCGTTCTACTCAAATCGAATTTCGTTTGGATTGTGATTAAACGGAAGATGAATAAAATGAAAAGAAGAAGAGAGAAAGGGCTTACGTTGGAAGGGCTGCGAGGAGGCCTGTTCTGGTTGCGGGAAGCCATGTGAGGCTTCGGAGAATGAATCGATTTGGTGTGAATGGGGAGTGAGTGTTGTTGTTGTTAGGGTTTACTGAGAGCGTTGCGAAATTTGAATTTGGATGTGGCGGTTCAACCAAAAAGCGCTCCTCTTTCTCATTGTGGATTGGATTAAACCGAGTTCAAATCCGGTCCGGAAGTAGGGTCCTTCTTATAAAATTAAATAATTTTGAATGTAACGGTCTTATTTCACACCAGAAGTTTCATGATTTGCGTGGACTAAAATTGATTTTCTCGTCCTAGTTTATTAGGTTTTGTTTATAAAAAGTTAAGCTAAACTTTTCTTTTACTTTCTTATTTTTAGGTTTATTCAATTTTTAAAATTTTTAATTACGTGATTTTAATTTTTAAATTTATTATTTTATTAATTATAATAGAATTTTTAACAGAATTTAGTTATCTGTTTGACGAAAATCTTACCGTACAAATGTGTATATTGATATGCAATATTAATTTTAATATATCTTAATAAAATAAATTATTATCTATAATGGTACATGTAGTGTAATTTTTGTTTTCTTCATCAATATTATTATCTAAATAACAAATTTTTTTTTAAATCATAGTTTTGTATTGTGGAAAAGAGATACTTAAATATTTAATAATAGAGGTGGAAGAGATGAAATGAATCTTCCTTTACTAATGTGAGAGTTAGATGTAGATTTAAGATGTGTAATTGTAATATAAAAAATTTTTTGTTGACATCTTAGACAAACAATAATCCATATGTGTAATTGTGACATATAAACTTCTTTCTTGATATTATGGACAAACAACAATCTAGATTAATATTTCCACAGTTGTGGGCATTTTCAAATAATGAAAAGAATTGTTGACTTATAATGTGAAAGACATAGTACATTCTAATTAGTATTTTTGTTTATAGGTAAAAGAAAGTTATCAATTTTTCAATGACATGATAACAAGATAAAGGCTTAGAAGAATAAGATTATAAAATCACCATTAAAGAAGGTGGATGCTTTGTAGAAGAAAGAGAAATTTCCAATGGTTAGCGATAGGCATAAAATTTAGATATAAAAGTCCAATCTATAATATAAGCCAAACTAGTTTAAAAGTCCATATTTCAAAAAAAAATAGATACACATTCTACTTTTTTTTTTTTTGCCCTAATATATTTTGGATCTCATTTAACAAATTTGGATTTATTTTTTCAAAAGTAGTTTTCTTCTTTACATGATCAAGTCTAGCCTCTAAGTAATTCTCTTCTCTTATGTTCTAAGACTGAAACCTAAATTTCTAAATCCCTGATCATTCCATATTTTATTTTTCCCGTGTCCTATAAGGATTTAGAGAATCATTGAACATTGGCTCCCCATGTAGCAATTATGATAACCACATCGAACTAATGCAATTTTTTTATTCTCTCTCCTATCTTTTCACTAATATAAAATAATTTTTTATTCAAATTTTGCAATCACTTCACAGCTTATGAAAATATTCATTGTTGTTCGCAGCATCTTAGGTGAGTTTATGTTATGATTTTCTACCACTTCCACTTGCATTTTGGTTTCATTTTTTTTTCTATGAGGTGTTTATGTTTATGTCTTTAAATCTTAATTTTGCTTTAGGATTGCAAAAAGGTAATGATACTTACTAAGTACAAGTAATGTCTTATGCTCATTTATGCATTTTATTCATCATTTTATTCTACTATAGTTACTTTTAATTAGCCAAACTACATTAAACCTCTTCGAAATATTGTCAATTTGTTGGACAATGACATCATTTTCATAAAATCTTATTTTCTTTTAAGCTTGGCCTTCACTTACTTCATTGTTATTTTCTTATTTGTATATAACTTTTTCCTTAGATTGTTATATTATTTTTCACAGGCCCTTATTGCAAGTTATGTATCTGAACATTAGTATAAGGTTGTGAGGGAAATTACAAATTTGGTATTAAGAGTAAGAACTTTTTCTCAATAAATTTTGAGTCTTTGATGTTGTTACTAGTTATTCTCAAAATTTACTAAAGTTATGGTTGTTTGACTATGTCAAATGTCAAATAAGAAAGTTTTATGAATTTGTTTAAAAACCTAACAATGTTTTTACAAATTGGATTGTTCATAAGTATTTGCTTGACTATAATCCTTAGTGTATTTTTTGGGTCTTTAACTACCATTTTTACCGAAGAAGGAAAAGTCTTGCAAGTGGGTAGAACTGGGGTGTTGGTATGTATGACATCTACTTATTCATTTGTTATTGTTTGTATGTAGTTGTTTTCTTTTACCTTATATTTTAGTTTACAGTGTTATCTTTTATTGTTGTTAGTTTATCAATGCTTCTCGGTCATTTAACGCTCTACATATATTTTTTATGGTCTTCATTATGGAGTTTCTAATGTCCCATACATTACTTTCTTCATGGTAAGTTTTCTTTTCTAAAATTGTTACAATGTTTATTTCTTGCTACATATGTTTCTTTGGGTTAATTTTTGTGATAATTGCTTTATATATGTATGTGGGAGCAATCTCCTCTACATTCTTTGTATTTGCATCCACACTTTTTTGCTTTCATGGTGTATGGTTGGACTTGGTTCTTTTCACGGCTCTTTGTGTGACAGCTGGTTTTATAGGCAAAATAACATATTTTTGTTATGTGTGCTTGTACATTTCAAACAAATGTTTCATGTTGTTTCCATCTTATTAAAACAAGTCACTTTACCTCTATTAGATGGATACTTTAACTTCCACTCTACTAATCTTTGATTAGAATATTTAACCTATACATCTTGGGTTGACCACTCATCTGATATGATTTCATTAATTACAAAAGTACATGTGATTGAGCTATAAATATAGTCTTTTTTTGTGGAATGGTGTACATGCACCTAATTTTGCATTTGCTCTCAATAGGACATCATGTAAAACAATAATCCATGTAGAAAATGCATGTTGATTTAATTTTGACATGCATTGTAATTGATGCTTCAAAGAGTAGTAACAAATTTGACTCTTATTTACTAAACTAAAACACCCATGTAGACATTTTAAGCCTATTCAAATATTCAAGCATTGTCAATTTCAGAAGATAAATTAAATTTGCTTTCTTGTACAAAAAATTAGAAATTTATTATTTTTTGGACATCTAAAATGTATTAGTAATTTATTATTGTTCAACATTTTTATTCTACACTGTTCATAATGTGAATTGAAATTCAATCTAAAATATAAAATATATATAGAGTGCTTTGTCATTAGGTACAAAACAAAAAACATACATCATGTTCTTAAATACATTATAAGGTTATGATTCCTAAGCATTATGCACTGATTTGGCATTTTGTCTCCTAACATTAGTACACTATTTAGAAATGAAATATGAGATGGTTGATGCAACTTAAGATGATCGTATAAATGCTTTGGTTAGTACTCTAAAACCGGTAGTTGCTACACTTTAGGATGGGTGTGTAGATATGATTAGCGAAGCAATCACAAATCAAATAAACTACAAGTTTAATAAATGCAATATGTGATGAAACCTAGTCGAACTTCAAAGAACATCTCCACTTTCAAATGCAATTAGAAAATACATGTTTGGCAGTTTATCATTCAACAATAATCAATTAATCAAAATGTAAAGCCAAAATTATTTTAAAAAATTCAATCGAGAAGGTTCAACCAAAAGAACACTCATGCAATGGTTTAATTCATCACTAATTCTAGATATGTGATTCGATTCTAATTTCATTAATCTCAGATTATTTTCATAAACATCTTCAAGCATTTTATGAATGCACATACATCAATTAACAATCACACAATTAATGTTAAGTAAGCCAATTTAAATCTTATTCAATTAACATTGATCTCAAATATGTGAATCAAGCCTCTGATTAATCCTAATTAATCCAAATCAATTAATTTAAAATTAACTAAGTGATTTCTAAATGGTTAAGATTTTGTTCTAATTATATTATATTAAACAAACTCAATCAAGTTTAATTCAAAACAAGTTTAGAATCAAAAGAAGGGGGAAAATTAAAGTTCAAATTTAGAGTTTAAATGCAAAACCTTAAAATCAATCAAAATGCAATGAAGAATTCTCTAGGTTGAATGCCAAAAATTAGCCTCTCATGATTATCTCCATAAAAATACAAAAATTAGAAATTTAGAGAGAAAAAAAGCTCTTCTAGTAAGAAAAGTGTAAAATTAAATTAAGGAAAATTCAATGTCTCTTTGAATTCCCTATAAACTGGAAATAACAATATGAATATAAGTGAAATTCCTAAGCTACCCCTAGCCCAATTAAAATTCCTTTGAATAAACTTTTCAATGACGTATATTTTGCTTACTTTAGGCTTAAATTGAATGAGATACACCCATTTAAGTAAACGAAGGTCTTGCTGTTTGGCAACAACTTCTGTCTAACTTTGACCCCAGTTTTGACCCTAAATTTGATTGAATTAGCCAACCAACATTTTAGAAGAAAATTTAAATCTTTGTCTTAACTTCCTAGAGCCACAAAGATTGTTCAAATTCGATATCTATAAATCTAGATATTGCCTATATAAAGAGAAAAGGTCATGATGTTAAAAAATCCAAGAATTAAGCAATAAATTCATATAAGTCCATTAAAGGCCAAACATAACAAAACTTCATTTAAATCATGGAATTGAGCTCAATTTTTGTTCCCTGAAAGACAAAGGAGATTGGAAGAACTGACTCTAACCTGAGGATGTCTTTTTAGCTTAAGTGAGACTTCCTTGCTTAAACGAGACTTCCTTGCTTAAACGAGACTTTCTTACTTAAGCGAGGTTGCATTAACTTAACTTTTGAGAAAGAAGAATAAGTAAAGAAGAGGACCAAAACCAAAACTTCAACAAGGGAGAACTAGGACATTTGGTGAATGAGCATTGGACACTATTTTTTAACCATTTTCTCTTTTTTTCTTTTGTTGTAAGGGATGCCATCAGTGACTAAACTTCCTTTGGGATTAAATGTAATTTTTAACTCAAATGTATTTTGATGATTTATATATAGTTATACATTTTTATAAATGTTGACGGTTTCAATATGTTTTTAATATTTGATTCTATTTTAAATGATAGTATTTTGATTTAGTATCTAAGGTTAGCTAGAAAGGAAGTCTTAGAATCAGATTGAATGAAATTCATTCAATGTGTTATAATGTTAGGTATAAGTTTCAGTATATCAATTGCTTTTTAACTTTTAATTTTAATGCTAGAGGATTCAATGAATATATGAGAAATTGTTATTCAGTGGATACTTTTATAAACCTTGTATTTGAGAAATCGATAGAATGAAATATTAAGAGAGTATATTTACTTCTATAAAACAATTTCTAAGTATTTATTCATCAAAATATAGAAGATAATGAATGATGAAATTCAATCCTAATTCAAACCCTAATATTTTTACATCTTAGTCAATTTTAATTCTTAAATCTTTGATTTTCTCAACTCATAAACATTTGTGCAAACATTGATATTTTTGTTAAGAGTTTTAATTATGATAATAAAAATTATAAATATATCTACCAATTCCTATGGATACACAACCCACACTCATTTATTAAAACAAAAGTTTGGAATGCTTGCCAAAATCTTAATGGTATGTGACAAAAAATGTGTTTCTTTAGTGTGACAAACAAAAAAATAGTCAATAAACATGTGATAGCAAATTGAATGTGCTTATAGTTTAACATGTAATGTGAAGCAACATAGTCCTCTGGCATATGGTTATTATTCTGCATATAAATCACTACATAGTAACAAAGAATTCCAATTAAACTCCACTTTCTATAAGAGCATGACCTCTAAACCAAATTTATAACAAACTTATCATTGACCTTTGCTTCTTCAAATAAAACATATACCTCATCCCTAACTTAATAAGGATACCACTTCTTAGCTTTTTGTTTATTTTTCTCAAATTTCTTATGTATTAAAGGATATATATCTCTCCTATACCTAACCATCAAATCTCTAAAATGCACAAAACTATTTTGTAAATAAAATTTTAAGCCTTCAATCAAAGATATAATAAGGTTGTCTTACACTCAAGTATTGCTCTATTGAAAGTCTCACACACACATGATTGATTATTTTTGTTTTTGGTAATAAGGATATTTTTAATTTGTAATAAAATTATTTTATATTCTACTTAAAATATTTTTAATTATGTTAAAGACTAGGATAGGATAATAAGTTAACGTTTCAGTGTTAACTTTTATAAATAAATAAAAAAGTAATTGATAGAAAAAATTAAGGTGAATTATGAATTAAAATAAAATATTAATTAAATTAAAAAGAAAAATATAAAGCATTGAAAAGTTAAAGTGACTTGTTATCCTTTTTAATTTGATTTTTTCTTCTCTTCAAATGCCATTTGATATGGGGTGTGGTTTTTTAAACCATTGTAGACAAAAATTAAAAAGAAAAACTTGAATTATAACAATTTGTAAATAAATTATCATAATAAGTAAAATGAATAATAAAAAATTATTAAACTGATATTAAACATGCATGCATTAGAAGAGAACGTGACATAATAATCTAAAAGAGTTACTCATATCTAACAACCGCTATTTGATAGAAAAGTGACACGTGTCATTATCACGCGTAAATAATTCATGATTAAAGAATTAAATTTGCAAAATGAGAACTCTTCCAATGAATATTTCGTGGACTACCTCCTCACCTTCTCAAATATGAAAGAAAAACCAGAGCTCTGCTATGCGTTTGTGTCTCCCTTGAAAAAGAGAACTAAAGTCACAGAAGTTGTGACATTCGAAAAACAATTTCACCTTCTCTATATCCACTAACAACCTAATATAAAATAAATCATATTTATTTTTAACCAATTTTATTAGTGGTAACCGGTTTATTAGGTGATCAAAATAATCCAATCCAATGTTATCTTGGTACATTGGTACACTATAAAAAAGTATTTTGTGGAAAAGAAATTAGAAAGTGAAACGTTGAAGCATTGGGTCCTTTAAATTTGGCGAATTGCGATTAGTGAGTGGGTCGGTTGGGCTCGTAAGTCGTAAATACTCTCTACTTTAAGCCGCACCCTCCACTCTCTCTGCTCCCAAAACCCTAATACCAATTTCCATGGTGCAGAAGAAGCAGCAGCGCCCATCGCCTCTCGACGATCCACCCACAGCTTCGTCTTCCGATTCCGAGGAAGAAGAGCAACGACCTTCCTCCGAGCAACGCCACGCAGAGGATGAAGAAGTAGCTTCCTCCGAAGAGGAAGAGGATTCGTCCGAAGAAGACGATGACGATGATGAAGAACATAACCCCAAACCCGCTTCCCAAAACCCTCCACCCCCTCCCACTAACTCCCTCCCCAAACCCTCTTCATCCGAATCTGAAACTGACTCCGATTCCGGATCCGACTCCGAACCCGACCCCAACCCCAACCCCAAAGTGAAACCCCTCGCCTCCAAGCCCATGGAGCAGGCCCAAAAGCCCAAGGCTCATCCCTCTCCGACCCCGTCCAAGTCGGGATCGAAGCGCGCTGCCGAGAACCATGCTCACGTGACTGGCCCCAAACGTGCGAAGAAGAAAGCAACCGATTTTTCTGGTGGTGGTTCCGACGAGGAGGTGGAGGAGGATGGGAAGAAGTCAGGGGAGTTGTCGAAGAAGTTTCAGAGGATCTGGAGCGAGGAAGATGAACTCGCCATTCTTAAGGGTATGGTTGACTTCACTTCCAACACTGGTCAAGACCCTTTTAAGTACGCCAATGCCTTTCACGATTTCATGAAGAAGTCGCTTCATTTCGATGCTTCCAGCAACCAACTGAAGGAGAAGATTCGAAGGCTGAAGAAGAAGTTTGAGACCAATTCCGGCAAAGGGAAGAATGGAAATGGCCCTAAGTTCTCCAAACCGCACGACCAAAAATCTTACGAATTGTCCAAAAAGGTTTGGGGAAATGAACAAGTTGAAACAGCCAATGGGGCAATTGAAAAGGAAAAATCTAACGGGAAAGCTGCCAAGAGTCCTAAGAAGGAAGCTAGTGGTAGTAGGAATGTGGCTACTTCTGGCAAGAAATTGAAACCCGAAACGAAACCTGAACCTGAGCGGATATCTGAGGTTTTGACGGAATCTGGAAAAATGGACATTGATCCGAAGCCTGATGGTGATACAGGTTTGCTTTTGAGTGAAATGTTCTGTTATCAAAATGGTGGCGGGGGTGTTTATCGGCTGAATGAGGATGATGCCAAGAGGGGTTTGCAGTTAATTGGAGAATCAAAGAGGGCAGAGTTGGAGGCCAAGTGGAAGAAAATTCGAGCTGCAGAGATGAAGTTGTATGCAGATCGTGCACTACTGGTTGGGGAGCAGACTAGCTTGATTTTGGAGGCGCTTCAGCCATCCAACCATTAGCATTGTCAATTGTGTTAGGTATAATTTGTGGCCTTTATGGTAATCTGCCATATGTTTTGTGGATTTATCTTATATGCGTTGTAATTTTGTGGCTGTCGTATAGTCTTTTTTATTTATAACAATGTTATCTAGTTATTAACGTTACATTATAATGTTTTGCTTCAAAATTGAAAGTTCCTTTGGAATTTTGTGGCTAATGATTCTCTTGCTGATGATCATTTATTCAGAATTGGAATTTCTAGAGTAGAATTGTCTTTTAGGTTCTATATACTCTTTTGATTCGCAAGTAATCTGAGATTATGTAATTTTTCTGTTGGTGACTTGTAACTTGAAGCTCATGCTGTCAAAGTTGTTCTTTTTTTTATGGGTTTTTGTTAACCTCGGCCCTAAGAGCTGAGTTTAATCATCCACAAATAGAAAATTTTTATAAAAAAAATACACAGTTATTGTATTGAAGTTATAAAAATACAATAAATACTTTTTTCTAATAAAATTGTATTATTATTAGTTGCTTATCTTTAGCCTTAAACAAAACCTTTTTTCATATATGTATGTATTGTCTCTCGTGAAGCCATGATGTTTTTTTGGGGTGATTACAGTATTGGCTGTTAAAAAGTTTTGATAATCTGCTTGTTATTTTTTTTCACCTATTTTGATGATCATTTTGCACCAACGAATTTGTTACTTTGAAGTATTGGGGATAGTGGTTAGGGGTTTGGATAGTTTGCATAAAGTTCTAAATATTGAAAGGTTGTGGGTAGAGTTGCAGGCTTTATAAGGACAAAATACCGGAGGCTAGACTTCAAGGGATGGCGACTTTTATCAGATTATGAAGAGGTGGTTATTGACCTCAGTGATTGGGACTGACGGGTCCTTTGGCTGGCTTGATGAGCCATTTTAATGTATAAACAAACAACTGGTACCCTCCTTTGAAGTATTAGACCAGGTTTATCTCAACAAATGCTTTAATCAAACAGTAAGGAATAAAGGTCTCTTAAAGACCCAAAAATGTTTAGAATTTGTTGTGAGGAGTAAAGAACTCTTAAAGACACCCAAAAATGTTTAGAATTTGTTGTGAGGAATAAAGAACTCTTAAAGACAACCCAAAAATGTTTAAAATTTGTTCTTGCTGTAATGCCCTGCCTCTCAAAGACGTGCCCCATAGTGTACAAGCCATCCACCACCTAGGAAACAAGGACGTTCAAAGTTAGACCAAATATTCTATTTCTGTCAGCAGATGTTTATGATCATGGTTCTTGTTAAATTTCTTAGAAGGTATGATATTTAGTATATATTATTTCTTTGTCCTTTGTCATTCGTAGTTTAAAACTAGCAAAACAAAATCTGTTTGTGACCAAAACGTGACTCTAATTGCAAATCATTAGATTATGATATTGGAACACACTATATAGCTCACAGTCCGTAGGAGAAATAAGAATGAACCACACGAGTCTGCTACTGGTTCTGAGGTATCTTTTTGTGATAGTGTTCGGCAGTTCAACTACGTGCACATAATTTTATGTTCCTTTTGTAATTTTAGCCATGATATCCTATTACATGTAACAGTTTATTAGCATCATAAACATTCCAGCTATGGGAAGTTACGTAAAAAATTGCTAAAATAAACACTTAATTGTACTGGAACTTAGTTCTCATTATGAGATATATCACGATAAACACATGTCAATGTGTGTTATCAATCTATTTTTGCATTTATTCTACGTCGCCTTTGGTCCAATATGGGACCGCACCGCTTCCTCCGATTACGAAAGAACTATTCAAGCTATTTTTACTAGCAAAACAGAGGCGCGATTAGTAATATATCGTCGTTTAGGTGCCTTTACTCACACTCAACCAAATCCAGTGGTTTATTTGGGTTTGTTCAAGACCGTTGAAATTTCGTCTGCTTTTAAGATAAACTTTTTCACAACGACCCAGTTGACAAAAAAACAAAAAGGAATAAACTTTTCCTCTTAATTCCTTTCCTCTCCCCCTCAAAAAGATGAAATTCTCCAGAGGCAATCGCATAATGCCACTTTTTTAAAACAAGAGTGTTAGGCAGGTCTACACAAGAAATTCTGAAAAAATTATTCACCAAGCATATCTTTTTCCCGAAATGAAACCAAGAAGAGCCTGACATGGAAGATTCAAAGCTGAAAAAGCATCGAAGTGGCAACAGTGTTAAACTTTTACAGTTTAGTGTTTTAGTTTGACAACTCATATTTTGATATGAGGATGCCGTCGTTATCTGCATACAACCATTCTCCATCTCGTATAAATGTGCCAGCAACATAAACAGAGACATGCTTTTCACCGGTTCGCTTTTTGTTGGATCTGAGCGGATGAGAAGCCAGGGCTCTGACGCCGATGTCACATGCATTGATCTCATCCACGTCTCTAATGCAGCCATTGACTACAATCCCAGCCCAACCCATGTTTTGTGCCGTCTGCGCCAAATTCCCTCCAAACAAGGCACACCTCAAGCTTCCTCCTCCATCAACAACCAAAACTCTTCCTTCTCCTTTGGTCTCAAGAAGTTCCCTAACCAACACGTTGTCTTCAAAGACCTTTACAGTAACAATGGGACCTGAGAATGCCCGGGACTGACCATAAATCTGGAACACTGGATGCATCACCCTCACATCACCACTTGCTACATGCGTTGCGTTTGTGTCACAAATCTCTGCAGTTGGTAGAGCAGCAGCCATCGCCTAAGTTACTCCTGCACCCACATGATCAATCAATCAAGCTTAATTCGTAGTTTTGGAAGAAAGGAAATGCTTTTCGGGAAAGGGTTTGTTTCAATGACAATTAACAAGATATGAAGTCATAAGAATGGTGGGTAATGGTCTCCACAAAAATCAAAGTAAATATTAGTAAAAGATTGAAATTATGCTTACCTTGCTCAGAGCAGAAGAGAAAGGAGAAATGAATTGGTGCAATGGAAAGGGGTGAGGAATGAAGAAACATTGAATGAGAAACGCATAAAAAGCCAAAGATGAGTGTGTGTTGTGTCGGTGTCCGTGCCACAACATCCCATTGGGGGATGGGTGACTTGCGTGGAAAATTTGTACAAGAAAAGCAAAGTGGCGTGGCAGCCACAAGTTTTTGTTTTACATTTAGCTGACTCCCACATACAAATCAGACCACACGAAAGTCAATGTGTCAAACAGTAACAGTTTAACGGAGCCCTTCTTTTTAAAGATAAAATAATTGTCATAAGTTATTATTACTTAAATTTTAATTAATAGGATATTTAAAATAAATTTATTAATAATTCATTTATAATTTAATTGTTAATAAACATGAAATATGCTTTTTGAAATGTAAAATAATTATCATAATTTGTTATTAGTTAAATGTTAAATATTAGATGGTTTAAGTTTTTGAATTTATTAAAGTTTCATATAAATTTTAATTATTAGAAAATATAATTTAAACATTTTGAAAGGTAAAATAATTTTCATAATTTGTTATTAGTTTAGATGTTAATTATTATGTATTTTAATTTATGAAAGCATAAATTTTTTAGGCAAATGTTATTAGTTATATGTTAATTTTATTTAATTATTCATTGTAAGTAAATTTGAAATTTGAAATTTTTTATTGGCATGATTTATTTCAATAATGAAAATTTCAATTTACTTGATAATTATTAGTAAGTAAAGTTTATAATTTTTGAAATATATAATTTTAATTTTGTTAATTTTTATTAGTTAAATGTTAATTGTTAGTATATCTACAATTTTAATTATTCAAATTTTAAATAATTCTCATTATTGAAAAATTCATTAAATGTTATTTATTATGCCAGGTAATTTAGAATAGTTATATAACATCCTCCAATTTTTGGCTAGTTTCTAAATTTTAGTTTGCGAGTGTGAACTACTTAAAAAATGGAGAAATTTTTTTTTTCTTTGTTCTCTTATATTCTTTTTTAACCTACTATTTTTATGTCTTTCTTATATATTAGAGTGGCTTTTAAGTCTTTGATACTTTGATTGTTTGAATTTTTGTTTCGCTGAGAATTATTTTGTTAATTTATTTGTTGTATATATATATATATATATGAACTTGCGCTCAAATATGTTTTACCTTCCAAGTGTGCAAGAGTTGTTTTTCTCCTTTCTTTTATTACCTTTTCGTTTACCTAGAGATGCAACATGTGGAGTGTGAAGACTAAAAGTCTATTTTGACCATCCTTGACTTTTGAACTTTGTTTAAAAGGGGTATAATTGACCTATAACTCTTTGCTTACCCTCTAGGTCTTTCTAATCACACGTGCTACCCTTTGATCTTTTGTATTAATACCTTCTAGAGTTCTGTGCAATGTGAGGAGAAAGATTGTTCATCATAAATGACGTGTGTCTTTTCCCTTGTGTTCCTTCAATTGCCCTTCTTAAACTCCACTCATTCTCTTACTTCATTAAATGCTATGTTGGTTTTCAAGAAAGGTGGAATTAACTCTCCCTTGTGTCTAGTGATTATGCTGGGCGGATTCTCTAGCTACCCTTAATTAAGAGGGCTAACAATGAGTTGGCATATCATTAATGTGCATTAGAGATCACTAAGCAACATATTAATTTTTCATCTTAAATCCCACTAATCCATGCATTTAAAGCTTAGCATGTGAAATCAAGAGGTTAGTGGAAGTTGTAGACAACTTATAGTGTTCAACCAGTCATTTAACGAGCATTAAAGCCTTTCTTTTTATTTCAAACATCATAACTAGTTGGCCGTGCAAACATTAAGTATAGTGGATTTGGAAAATGAAAAGACATTAGCATGGAGAGAGAAGATTGGACTTGATGCATCATACATGCATTGGTGTCTCATTAATTTAGACTTTCACTAATTACCTTTCTTAATTTCTTTTGTGAGTGTTGTACATGTGTGCCCTTTTATCTTTCTTTAGGAGTCTTGAGATTCCTTACCTCTAAATATTCTACTAAACATTGCCATTAGAACTCATTTATTCCTTAATTAATGTGACTTGAGACACGTTGACACCAATTATTAAGGATGTTTAATGACCCACCAACTCGAGTTATGAAGAGAGAGGAGAGAGAAAATCGTGAATAGAACCTCCCTTAAGCACCATTACTCTCATTTAATGTCATTTTAATAACACATTTCCACCTTCACATTATTAATCTGGAGAGTGAGAGAGCAGTGTATGATTGCCTTAAGAATTGGAAGAGACACTCAAGTTAGGAAGAGAGAGAAAGTGGAAGACATAGCCTCAGTGGGTTTTTAATGCTAGCCGCCCTCATTAATTGCACATTTTTCTTAGCCAATCAAAATATATGCATGCTTGACCTGTAAAACACCCTTTTCTCAACCTTTCATGTATGAGAGACAATCACACTTTCACTTTCTCCTACGAACAATCTTCCTCTACTTGAAGAAAAAGAAAGAAACCAGAAGCAAGAGAGAGACAGCCATTGTACCTTCCTCTTTCACCCTACTTTCTAAAAGGTTGAGAGTTACGCACAAACCTTTTAATGTTTAAATCGTTGCTATTGCACTTCTACAAAAGATCTTAGAACTCCTTTTGCCTTCAAATCTTTGGCACGCTCAAGATGTATTCTTTGGCCATTTCCTCCAAAATGAGGACCACGAACTCAAGGCTTTGCTACGCTTTTGCCATACTCAGAGAAAGGAAGACACAAACTTGATGGAGGGAAGCTTCTACACACTACACTAATCTGCGACTTTTGCATGCAACTGTGTTTGAGGTAAGGGAGTCTATGTGTTTGTGCTTGAATGTGTGTTATTGTTTGTTGCATGTGCTGTTCCCTCCTTACGCCACTCATGGATGCCTTTAAAAATTACATGCATGATAATTTTCTTTTCATCCCTCAATATTCTAATCAAACCTAATTATTGAATGATGCTTTGATGCTTGCATGGGTGCGATTGTGGGTAAGGTTCATTGCATGTCATCGATGATTTCTTATTTTCATATTACCTATGTGAATATGCTTCCCTTGCTGGTTGTGATGGATGTTACTAAATGAACCGTAATCTATGTTATTTTTCTTGAATCCACCTTATTTTCCTTTTCGGTTTAGCCTTGGAGATTAAAACAAACATTTTTGAATTATTTGCTGACTAAAGTATGCTTCGATTTGCTTGCATGATGACCAATCATGATGAAAATCTTATTGCATGTTACAACCATCATATTTCCTGCCTCTATGTCTCCTATTTGACTTCTCAATCATGTTCAGAAAACCCTAAATTTTCTTTCTATTGATGAATGAGTTGGGAAGGATGCATAGAGAGGTGTTCTGGTGGATATTTTGAATGGTACGTGAAACTCCATTAAAACTTGTTGATTAACTGGCATGAAAATGACTTGTTCTGTGACTGTAGTGATGTAACTATGTATATGTTTGGTTGATTACCTTGTTTAAATCAATGATTGGTATGCATGCATGGAATTCTTTATTTTCTTTCATTCCTTGAACGAATTAATGAACTGGGAAGTGTTCTAGTGAGTTTTGCTTCCTTTCTTCCTCGGTAGAGCCTTTGATTTTTGTAAATAGATCTGATTAGAGTATTGTTTACATTGAGAATTTTGTTACCCTTGACCTAAGGTTGATTTTATGAATACGTTATTCTTTGGGCTCAGATCATGTGTTGTTTTAGTGTCCTTCGGTGTGTCACATTTGAATAAATATATGAACCTTATCACCTTGTAAGGATTATAAACTATAAACCCAATGCATGATAAATTTCAAAGACTGCATGTGAAATCTCTGTGTTCTTTACTTATTGTGCAATTTTTTTAAATTGTTCTTATCTGCAGAAAGATTGTACTTTTTTTTTTCTTTTTAGAAATTCATGGGATTTTATGCATATTGAAAATGTGAGAATTATGTTCCTGTAATTTCATCCTCTAAACTAGTTGTTATTTTTCTGCGTAATTCTACACTACTTATTTTCTATAACTGCTATTGTTTTTCTACATAATTTTGTATTGTTATTCTTTGACTTTTGAATTGTCCACCTGTTAGATATAATAACTACTTTACACCAATGCACACTACGTTCTATTATAACCTGCATAATGCATTTTTGTTAAATAATTATTTTTGCATCAAACATAAGAAGTCATCATTCTATAGGTAAGGCAATCTCGCACTACATTTTATTGCATGACTTTTTTTTTATTTTTTACATAAAGCTATTATTTTTATATTTTTCCACCTACCTATCTATGCATCAAAAGAAATACTAATCGCTTGCTTCACCTTATTGCCTGATTACTTCTAACACGAAGGAAATAACTAGTTAGCACCATTACTACATTTTACATACTGCACCATTACTAAATGAGAATTTTACATTGCATCGTGAAAATGATTGCTTTCTTAGTGTTGTTTGGTTAATGTACTTAGTCAGATTGAATGAATATAATATTTGATCTATATCAAACTCATTGAATTAGCATGATGATTTGATTATGTATATTGTTAGTCCTACTTTGATGTATAATTGTGGGTTTTAAAATGAACTCTATTCTAAATGTATATATATACATGTGTTAGCATGTTCAATGGAAAGTGTGTAATTTCAAAAGATAAAAGTTCTCTGATTTTGAAAACATGGTGTGATGATAGTTTGAGGTCTACGAAATTGTGTTAAAGTTATATATTTAAAGTGTCACATTTAACTTGGTGAAATATGTATAGTATTATTTGGCTCCTAAACCACTGGTTGGACTATAAATACACACACATGTATACGTAGACATTTGCAATTGCTTGAGCCACAATCTAGTTTTGGAATGAATGGTTCCTTTTACTTGTGTGCGAATTAAACTAAGTCGTAAGAGTAGTCATAATCTATATCCAAAATACTGAGGACTCAGTACTATCAGTCGGGACCTTAACACCGTGATCCGCTCAACGATTACTCGGGTTGGTTTTCCAAGAAGATCATGGTCGAGATAAGAACACAGTAGCTGAGGTTCTAATTGTACCTCTGTAAAAATAAATATAGAGGGTGTGGTGGATCCTATCTCTG